TGCAGGAGCTAGTGCTTACAAAGGGATACTGAATGAACAATTGGGAGGAGGCTATCTTGGCAGAGAAATGCTTGGCTTCAGCACTTGAACAATGAGGATTGCAGCAGCATTGGTGTGAATTTAGCCCTCTCAAAGCTCTCTGTGCACAGGACAAGTGAAGATCAAACAGGCTCACTGTAAGCTTGCTTGCTTTTCTCCACCTGAGCCTGGAGGGACCATGTAGATTGACAGGAGCATTAAGTCTCTAGTGCCTGTTCATACCATAGTGCAGGGGTGAGGACCCTCAGGCCTGGGGGTCAGGTGAGGCCCCCGGCTTCCCTAGGTCCAGCTCCCAAGGCTCAGGGTCTCCCCCATCATTGCGGAGGCGGCAGTAGTGCTCCAGTTCCCCTGCTGTCTCCCTGTGGGACTGGAACACACAAAATCTATTAGGCTGGGGCCCTCTAGACTCTGGTGTGAGGAGTGTCTTTCTCCTCATTTGCGGAGCACAGTGAGGGGTTTCCCCCACCGGTTCTCACTGGTGCGTGGCCCCCAACTGATTTATCTGTGTCAGCAGCCCCCGACTCTCAAAAGGTTTCCCACCCCTGCCTTAGAGCCTTTGCCCGTGTAACCAGAAGCTCTAGGGCTTGTGTTAATTTGGAATATCCCTCTAATTGGTTCTCTTGTGATTCATAGAATCATAGAAGATTAGGGTTGGAAGAGACCTCAGGAGGTCACCTAGTGCAACTCTCCACTCTGTAGTTATGTTGCTTTAATTTTCCTTCCACTTAAAGACTGTCTTCTGGGCTGATCCAAACCACCAGAGAGCCGTGCAGGTGGCTGTGTTCAGTCTGGTGGGGGAACAGGGGCAACCCAGTGGGGTGCTCAGTCCCCTTCCACTGATACCTGGGAGACAGTCTGCTACGGCCTTGGCTAACTGAGCTGGCTCTTGTGATTCAGGAATTGGAACTCTTGTGTTTGGATCTAGAGGTGCTAGGTTCAATCCTGGAAGCTGACAACCCATATGACATTACATAGACCTCCAAAAGGGCTGAGATATTTTAAATAGTCTCTTAAAATCTTCTCCTTGAGTTTACAAGGCTGTATTTAACTCTCAGGTGCTAGTTAGAAACAGTCTCAACTAATGCTTCTTTTTGGCTTCACCTTCGTTCTTAGGAATGACCAATCGACCAGACCTGATTGATGATGCCTTGTTGCGACCTGGGAGATTGGAGGTGAAAATGGAGATTGGTAAGAGACCTTACGGCTGCTCGGTAGGAAATTTCAAACTGACTAACTGCACCAAAGCAGAGTTGGTGTCTTCTAGCATGAGCCCTTGGCAGCAGAGCATAATTGCCAAGTTTTGTGCAGCTCCTTGTGTGGCACTTCATGTAAACTTTGTAACTAACTCGCGTATTTACATATTGCATTTCAGAGATGTAGTGAAAGGTCTTGGATTGACAACTGCTTCCCTTGATCAAGGGGAGCAAGTGTGGGCAGGCAGGAGCTTATTCCTTGGAGCTCCTAACAGATGTCTGGACTGTAGGCCAGCCTGCCTGCATGTGGCATCGGGATTTAGGAGTTCCTTCTCTGCCAGTGACTTGCTGCCTCACCCTGTACCAAGTCACTTAACTTTGTCTTTCTCCATCTATAAATGGGGGTTAATTCTAACCAAAGGATTATTAGACATAGTTTGCAACAAGCTTGGTGTGACTTGACCCTGCACTAGCTTGCTGCAAACTGTCGGTGTGAACCCTGCTACTGCACAAGAAAAATTCTGTAATGCACTTTGAACCACCACACTTGGAAGTGGCAGTAGATTGAAGTGCACTGGGGAGCTTTTGGCACACAGCTGCAGAAGGTGCACATGGGCATCTGGTATGAGGTACATTCACACTGACTTGCAGGGAACTAAGTGTTCATGTCAACAAGCCCTAGTCACGGGGGGCTGAGGGGTCATGAATGTTTTTTGTGGGTGTCTTCTCCCTACATGAGTGGAAGCTGCTAATGATGATAGGCAGCCCTCTGCATGCTGGGGCTGTCAGGAGAGGCTTGCCAATGATACTGTTCTTGCCACTTTGAGACAGTGGAGGAAAAGAACTGAAAGTTTCTGTTTACAACTCTCAGGGTTGCCAGATGAGAAGGGCCGAATTCAGATTCTTCATATCCACACCTCAAAGATGCGGGACCACCAGCTGCTGTCTGCAGATGTTGATATTAAAGAACTTGCTGTGGAAACCAAAAACTTCAGCGGTGCTGAGTTAGAGGGTTTGGTGCGAGCAGCACAGTCCACAGCTATGAACAGACACATAAAGGTCAGTCCTGATTGACCCAGGAAATAGTCAAAAGGAAGAAACTGCTTCACTTGTATCACATCTTTTATTCTGGGTGTATAATGAAGCCTCTGAATACTGCAGGAGTTAGAATCTCGCATCAATTTCCCGCTGTGAACATATAATTGCTTTTCACATGGACAAAATATGCCCATTTTGCCATCTTTTGCATGTCTCTCAAATGTCTACTGGGCGGCCTTGAATGAACATAGTGATGCATCAGGGGCATCAACAGATTCAAAGAGAGGAAAGGAAAGCACTTAACCAGTTGCAGAGGTTTGGAGGCAGGGTGCTTTGTGTTTGAGTAATCCTGGAAACTAATGGAAGGGGTGTGCGTGGGTGTGGGTGTGTGTTAGGGTATATCCCCATCTCTGTGTTCATGTGTGCCTCACAGGCATAAGACCAGCCTTTCACATCCATACACATGGCTAGTATCTTTTTGTGCCCCATTGTGAAGGCATGAGGGGTACTGGGGTAGTGATCCCCTATTGGTTCTGTCTTACCCTTCCATCAGCAAGGTGAACCATGTCTGGTCTTGTACACTCGTCAGAGCTTTAAAAAATGTGTTTTTCACAATTTTGGTGAAAAACTTAATCTTTTCCACTGGTTTAAATTGGATGTTATGAACACCCCCTCTCCCAAAACCTGTCTTGACAATCCCCTTCCCCCACACCAGTGCACACATGGTGAGATGCTGTTTGCCCATTTCCACACCTTAGGGCAGACTCAGAGTCACGAGGGATCAAACTTTGACTCCTCTGACTGCCTGATACCCCATAAAGACATAGGTTTGATGCCTGCTCTGCTTAGGATAGAGCCATATCCTGGACATATGCTGTGCATGCTGCTCTTTTTTTCTGGGGACTTCTTCTGAGGACCCTCCAAAGGGTTTAACACTTTTTATACACACCCGAATCTAGGATACCCATAAAGAAAAGGACCCTATCAAACCTGTACCTTCAGGTGCAAGACATTTTTCTGCATTGCAGATAATCAGATGGTGTTTGTGGACTATTATGTTCTACCTTCCCGTCCAAAAAGCACAAGCGAATAGGGAGGAGCTGAAAGAAATTGTAACACGGGGCCAAATAGTGGCTAGAAGTGCATTGCAGGCAGCCATGGATATCTCCTAGAGTATTGGTGGTGCATACTGGAGCAACCAAGATGGTTATGAGATCAGTGTCTCTGTCAGCACCAGAAAGAGGTCCTCATGGCTGCCAGCATTGGGCATCTCAAAGGAGGTGCAAACTGGCCAAGAGAAACACCCCTTTGAAGGGTGGATCTCTTCAGCAGCAGAGAGAGAATCACAGAACACTAGGACTGAAAAGGACCTCGAGAGTCATCGAGTCCAGTCCCCTGCCCTCATGGCAGGACCCAGGACTGTCTAGACCATCCCTGATAGACATTTATCTAACTTACTCTTAAATATCTGCAGAGATGGAGATTCCACAACCACCCAAGCAATTTATTCCAGTGTTTAACCATGCTGACAGCTAGGAACTTTGTCCTAATATCCAACCTAAACCTCCCTTGCAGCAGTTTAAGCCCATTGCTTCTTGCTCTATCTTCAGAGGCCAGGAAGAACAAGTTTTCTCCCTCCTCCTTGTGACACCCTTTTAAATACCTGAAAACCGCTATCATGTCCCCTCTCAATCTTCTCTTTTCCAAACTAAACAAGCCCAATTCTTTCAGTCTTCCTTCATAGGTCATGTTCTCTAGACCTTTCATCATTCTTGTTGCTCTTCTCTGGACCTTCTCCAGTTTCTCCACATGTTTCTTGAAATGTGGCACCCAGAACTGGACACAATACTCCAACTGTGACAAGGAGCCCTGTGGCACCTTATAGACTAACAGATGTATTGGAGCATAAGCATAAGCTTTCGTGGGCAAAGACCCACTTTGTCACAATTATCTGACGAAGTGGGTCTTTGCTCATGAAAGCATATGCTTATGCTCCAATATATGTTAGTCTACAAGGTGCCACAGGACTCTTTGTCGCTTTTGCAGATTCAAACTAACACGGTCATGTCTTGCTCACAACATACCTGTTAATGCATCCCAGAATCATGTTTGCTTTTTTTGCAACAGCATCACACTGCTGACTCATTCAGCTTGTGGTCCTCTATAACCCCTAGATCCCTTTCTGCTGTACTCCTTCCTAGACAGTCGCTTCCCATTCTGTATGTGTGAAACTGATTGTTCCTTCCTAAGTGGAGCACTTTGCATTTGTCTTTATTAAGCTTCATCCTGTTTACCTCAGACCTTTTCTCCAATTTGTCCAGATCATTTTGAATTATGATCCTATCTTCCAAAGCATTTGCAACCCCTCCAAGCTTGGATCATCTGCAAACTTAATAAATGTCCTCTCTATGCCAATATCCAGGGCTCGCATGCTCAGATCACCCAAACCTGGCTCTTCCGGGATGTAATCTACTCACCACGGGTGAGTAGATTACATAGATTGTCGAGCTCTGCCGATATCTAAATTGCTGATGAAGATATTGAACAGAACCAGTCCCAAAACCAGACCCCTGTGGAACCCCACTTGTTACTCCTTTCCAGAAGGATTGTGAACCATTAATAACTACTCTCTGGGAATGGTTATCCAGCCAGTTACGCACCCACCTTATAGTAGCCCCATCTAAGTTGTATTTCCCTAATTTATTGATAAGAATATCATGCGATACCATATCAAATGCCTTACTAAAGTCTAGGTATACCACATCCACCACTTCTCCCTTATCCACAAGAATCGTTATCTTATCAAAGAAAGCTATCAGATTGGTTTGACATGATTTGTTCTGTACACATCCATGCTGGCTGTTCCCTATCACCTTATTATTTTCCGAGTGTTTGCAGATGATTTCCTTAATTACTTGCTCCATTATTTTTCCTGGCACAGAAGTTAAACTGACTGGTCTGTAGTTTCCTGGGTTGTTTTTATTTCCCTTTTTATAGATGGGCATTAGATTTCCCCTTTTCCAATCTTCTGGAATCTCTCCTGTCTTCCATGATTTTCCAAAGATGATAGCTAAAGGCTCAGATAACTCCTCTGTCAGCTCCTTAAGATGATATGCTCCCTGTGTTGGAAGAGTGATGGGGGCTACATTATAATCTGTTTAGGGAGCGCATGCACTCAGGCAAACACCACAGCCAAGAGCACACCAAGTGTCAGAACTTTTGTTCCTGATGGGGCCATAAACCTTGGACACTTGGAAGCTTCATGGGGAGCCGAGTTAGTCTGTACAGCATGAACTCAAACAACAACAAATGGTCTGGTAGCACTTTATAAACTAAAAAAACATGAGCTTTCGTGGGCATGGCGAGTGGGCTGCGGGCTGTGCTCACGAAAGCTCATGATCTCATCTACATGTTTTGTCAGTCTCTAAAGTGCTACCAGACCATTTGTTAAGTTTATCTTGGACACTTGGACTGCCAGAGTGTAATAACAAAGAGCCAGTATCATGCTCATGTATCCCATCTGGCCAAGGCTGTTGTGGCTGAAACACCTGCCTTGCCCATTCAGTTGCTGAGCCAGCTCCCAGACTACCCAGACCTGGTCTCACAACACTGTGGCCAAATACTCTGTCCAAACCTGAAGCCCCTGTCCCTGACAGTCTGGTTGTTGGCAGTTTTAGTACCCTGGACAGTGACTTCTCTGGACAAGTCATGAGGTCCTGATCAAATGTAGGAAGACATCCACCAGAAGGACTTGTTCACAATGGAAGACGTTCTCAATATCGGGCCCAATATAGCCTAGACCTTGTGAAGGCTATGGTACTGAAGATCCTTGACTACTTGCTGCATTTAAAACACTCCGGCTTCCATTCAGCTCCATTAGGCTTCACCTCCCAACTTGCCATCCACCTAGACACTTTTGCTCAGTCTTGTGTTCAGTTTTCTCTCTCTTGATGGTATTGTTTGTTTCTTGACAGTATTGTTGTTCCTGAAGGGCCTGCTTCATACTTATCCACTAGTCAGAGAACCTGCTTCTGTTTGGGACCGTAGTATTGCATTCTTGATAATTATGGGACCCTGTTTGAACGTATTTAGAATGCTCCCTCTGGACAGTTTCCCTAGCTGCTAATGCATCACCTAGGAGAGCAAGTGAATTTCAAATTCTCATGACTTGCCCTCCCTACACAGTAGGTGGCAGAGACAAGATTATGTTGAAACTTCACCGTAAGTTTTTTCCTGAGGTGGTCTCAGAATTCCACCTGAAACAATCAGTTAACTCATCTGGGTTGCACTACTTTTACTGCATTTACAGAACCAAACCTTTCCAGCTGCCTCCCCATTTATTTCCTCCTGTAGCCAGCCATTCCAAAGGCCAGGCTGTTTCATCACAGATAAAATCTGTTAAGTGGGTAACACATTATATCTGACTGCATTACCAATTGGCTGATGTGCTTCTCCTGCGAAACATTGATATTCCATTAGAATTTAAGCAGCATCCTCCATTAGAGCTTGAGAAATGTCAGTTTCTGAATGCTGCATTGTAGAATTAGCCCCCTAAGCTTTGTAGACATTGTGTTGGACTTAGCTATAGTGACCAGATGCTGAGTTCAGGGGAACAGTATAAAATTGTTTGACTGATGCTTCTCATCTCACTATCTATAGAATAAGCTTCAGGGGGTAGCCGTCTTAGTCTGTAGAGGATAAACTTAAAACATAACAAATGGAAAGCTCATGATCCCATCTACATGTTTTGTTAGTCTCTAAAGTGCTACCAGACCATTTGTTGTTTTTAAGTTCATCTATAGAAGGTTGCTTGCAGTATGATCCATTGTGACATGTTCTTGAAGAGAGATTGGTTGCTTATCCTACATAACTGTCCTTCTCCGAGGAGTTGTAGTCAGTATGCATCCTACAGCCTTCCCCCTGCTTTTGGTGTCCTGGAGGGCTTCAGATTGCTCACATGGAATGTAACCTATGCCCTGTATGGAGGCTCTTAAGGAGGAGGGAGAAAACTTGTTCATCTT